CATCAGGTTCACTATGCCTTTTAGGGAAGGAAATCTATCATCATTGTCTGGTCTGGCCTAAATGTGACTCCAGGTCCACAGCAATGTGACTGAACTTAACTACCCTCTGGGACAATTAGCGATGGGCAATAAATGCTGGCATAGCCCACAAACGAATTTAAAAAGATGAATCACATAACACAGGGTTCCAAGTCTTCCACATGCTCTTATGGCCACAGTATTTATATGACTTGTCCAGTTCAATTTCTGGTGAATTGTAACCCCATGAAGTTGATAGTAGAGGAAGTCAAAGTTAAGGGGAGGTAGGTGGATTCGCTCTTCTTGGTCATTAATGACAGTCAAGTACCAGGCTATGTTACTATGCACTTATCAGCCCAAGCCTTGATATTATTCAGGACTTTGTGCATATAGACATGGACTGCTTCAGTATCTGAGGAGTCACAAATGGTCTAAACATTGTCCAAGCATCAGCAGACATCCCCAGTTCTGACTTTATGATGGAGTGAAGATCATCAGTGAAGCAGCTGAAGATGGTTGGGCCAAGGACACCACCCTGAGGAACTCCTGCAGAGATATCCTGGAGCTGAGATGACTGACCTCCAACAACCACAACCATCCTCCTTTGTATTAGGAATGACTCGAACCAGCGAGAGTTTTCCCTATGATTCCCATTGACACTAGTTTTGTTAGGAGTTCTTGATGTGACACTCAGTGAACTGTAACCTTGATGTCAAGGGCAAACAGTCCCACCTCACATCTGGAATTCAGCTCTTGTGCCTATGTCTGAATGAAGGCTGTAATAAGGTCAGGGTCTGAGTGGCCCCAGCTGATCCTAAACTCAATGACAGATAACAAGTCACAGGCAGTCCCTGGGTTACGAATGAGTTTATTCTTGAATACTGTCACAGGTCGATTTGTACGCAAGTCAGAACATAATGCAGGATGATATAAAATAGCCATTCCTAAGGACGAGATATGTTCACATATTGGATCTTCAAAATTAATATTAATACACCCCTGTAAGGTATTGTGATCATAAGTACAAGCATTCATAAGTTAGACATTCTTAAATTGGGGACTGCCTGTATTGCTAAGCAATAGCTGCTTGATTAAACTGTCAACAACCTCTTCCATCAACTTGCTGGTGTTTGAAATTAGACTCATGGGGTTGCTATTGTTGCTTTTGTGTACAGGACATACCTGGCCAATTTTCCACATTGTCCAGTAGATGGCAATGTTATAGTTGTCTTGGAATAACTTGGCGAGCTCAGTGACAAGTTCTGGAGCACAAGTCTTCAGTACTATTGCTGAAATGTTGTCAGTGTTCACTTCTTCAAAATAGGTTCATGGTGTCTTTTGCGTTCATCTAAGAGAGTAGATAGAACCTTGGTTTAATAGGTTATCTGAAGGGCAGCATTCCTGAGAGTGCAGCATCCATCAGGATTGTATTAGTGTGTTAGCCTGGGTTGCATGCTCAAGTGTCTGGAATAGCGAGTGTGTTCTTCCCTGGACCATGGTTCAACTTTTTCACAATAAATTTACACAGCAGGTAACTGTAAAGAAGTAAAATTATGATCTCATACCATTTGAAAACCAATTTTCAACTCTACAGTGACATTCTTTGGATAAAACTGAAAGAAAAACATTTTAATTGTGCAAAAAAAATCAAATCAGAAACTCTGTAAGAGGAGCTTCAATGTAAACAATATATCTCACCAGAACTATTGACTGTCAATTTGACAAGCTCTGCACAATACCCAGGAATAGGGGATTCCTGTGGCACAGTGTTGTGTTCCTAATCTGAGCCAGGAGGCCTGGATTCAAGTTCCACCTGCTTGAAAATTGTGCCATAATATCTCTGAACAGGTTGATTAGAAAATATCCATAAGTTAAATCTGTGTAATGTTTTCTCACATCACCTACCAGTGGTAAAGAGGAAGTCATTGGTCCGGGCAGTGGATAGATTTTGTAAGCAGTATCTTAGGAACTCTAGAAGGGAGGGTCAGTATCTGACCAGCTAAGAGCTTGAAGGGAAAATGACAGGCAGCACCTCCATACCTTCACAGACCCGATAGAAACTGTGCTGCCATTGACTCTCTGCTAACCCCACCCACCTCTACAGGCTCACTATCAAACTCTCCCTCACTAACCCCTCCTCTCTCCCATTCATCAACTCCTCCCGCACACTCTCTCCCCTCATTAGCCCCCTCGACCACACTCTCCCTTTCTCATTAACTCTTCCACTACCCCCTAACCCTCCTTCCACTCTCTCCTTCACTGCCCTTACCCGCCTCCCACTCCGCTCCGCCCTACCTTCCGTTTCCGGTCCGTCACTCGACCTCTTCCCTCCCCACCGCCTAACAACACACGCACACAACCCGGAACCATCCTCTCCACCCTGTGCAGCAGGAATAGTCTTCCCCATCCCCCGCGGAGCTGTCGGAACTCGGCTGGGCCTGTCCCTGGGACAAGGTTCCCGAGGCTGAGGGTAGTGCTGTGTACCAGGAGAGGAGAGTCGGGCCGCTCTATGCCTCCTCCTCTCCAGCGGGCTGTGGCCTTTGGACTCTCGCTGTCTCTGTGTCCCTGAGCCTTGGGCACTGTGGTCGATGGATTGACGGACGGGCCTGAGGAATATGGATAAGAAAGGATCCGTGTCCTGGAAGAAGATGACAGGTGAGGAAGTTCAACCTGTGGTCCTGGCCGCCTCCTGTTTCTGTCATCCCAGGCCAGCCCCCACAAACACTGCACAAGTCTGGCTAAATCAGGGGACACCGGAATGAAATAGTAGGAACTGCAGATGTTGGAGAATCTGAGATAACAAGGTGTAGCTGGACACCGGAAATAGTTTGTTTAGGCTCAACTGTGTAGCCACATCACCAGCTTGCCCACAAGGTTGATGCCTATGGCATAAAAGGGGCCGAGGCAGCGGTCACCCAGTGCAGTGGTGAACCTTTGTCAGTCTGAAGATCAAAATTGTACTTCCCCGGAGTTACTATTAGGACTGTCACTTTTCTTGATCTGTATTAATGACCCTAGACTTGGGTGTCCAACATGCAATTTCACAAGTTCTTATATTTATTTACGAGATGTGGTCTTTCTCACTGTTCAAGAGACTTCCAGTGGTAAAAATAGCAGACTGGTGGAATAGGCAGACATATAGCAGAAGGAAGTTGATTCAGACAAATGCAAAGAGGAACAACTTGGAATGAAGAATGTGGAAATGTAATGCAAAATAAAGTGTACAATTCTAAGAGGTTGCAGAAGCAGAGAGACCTGAGGGAGCATGTGCACACAGATCATTAAATGTGGCAGAGTACATTAAAACACTGGCTGAAAAAGCACAATGGGCTTTACAAATGGAGGCTTGGAGTGCAAAAGCATGGATATTATGACACCTTTCTTTAAAAAAAAAAGTCTGCCCTCAATTGGAGTTTTATGTCCAGTCTGAGTATCAAAATCCAGGAAGGATGAGAAGGTTTTTGTGAGGATTCAGAAAAGATTTAGAATTGAAGAATGGTCATAGCACAGAAGAAGGCAATTCAACCTGTTGTTCTGTGATGACTCTCTCCAGGAACGACTTGGTCCCACTAACCTGCCTTTTCCCTATAGCTATGCTAATTTCAGACAAATATCCAGTTCCGTCTCGACACCGTAATTGAAACTGCCTCCTCCACTCTTGGACATCCCTGATCCTAACCACTTGCTGCAAAACAAATTCCCTGCGTTGGCATTGCTGTTTCCAACAACCATCTTGAGTGCTGATTGTCGTCTGGTTCTTGACTATTCCACTAATGGGAAGTAGTTCTCTGAATCTGTTCTGTCCAGATTCCCCATGATTTGAACTCCTCAAATCAACCCGCTCTTAGACTCAGAGCTCTACAGCATGGAAACAGAGCCTTCCATCCAACTCGTAGCAGATATCCTAAATAAATCTAGTCCCATTTGCTAGTGGTTATCCCATATCCCTCTAAACCTTTCCTATTCATATACTCATCCAGATGCCTTTTAAATGTTGTAATTGTACCATCCTCCTCCACTTCCTCTGGCAGCTCATTCCATACTTGCACGATCCTCTGAAAAATTTCCCCCTTAGGTCCCTTTGAAATCTTTTCCCTTTCACCTTATACCTATGACCTCTAGTTTTGGACTCCCCCACTCTGGGAAATGGTCTTGGCTATTCACCCTATCCATGCCCCTCATGGTTTTATACACCTCTATAAGGTCACCCCTCAGCCTCCGATGCTCCAGGGAAAATAGTCTCGGCCTGTTCAGCCTCTCCTTGTAGCTCAAGCCCTCCAACCATGGCAGCATCCTTGTAAATCATTTCTGAACCCTTTCAAGTTTCACAACATCCTTCCTATAGCAAGGAGACCAGAATTGCACACAGTATTTAAAAAGTGGCCTGATCAGCAACCTGTACAGCTGCGACATGACCTTCCAACTCCTATACTCAATGCCCTGACCAATAAAGGGATACATACCAAACACCTCCTTGGCTATCCTGTCTGCCTATGACTCCACTTTCAAGGAGCTATGCACCTGCTCTCCAAGGTCTCTTTGTTCAGCTATACTCACATGGACCTTACCATCAAGTGTATATGTCCTGCCCTAATTTGCCTTTCCAAAATGCCCCACCTCACATTTATCTAAATTAAACTCCATCTGCCACTCCTTGGCTCGTTGGCCCACCCGATCAAGGTCCCCTTGTATTCTGAGGCAACCTCCTTCGCTGTCCACTACACATCCAATTTTGGTGACATCTGCAAATTTACTAACATGCATTTCTCCTATGTTCACATCCAAATCACTTATATAAATAACACAAAGCAATGGACCCAGCACCAATCCTTGCGGCGCACCAATCCTTGCGGCACACCACTAGTCACAGACCTCCAGTCTGAAAAGCAATCCTCCACCACCACCCTCTGTCTTCAACCTTTGAGCCAGTTCTGTATCCATATGGCTAGTTCCCTCTGTATTACGTACGCTCTAACCTTGGTAATCAGTCTACCAAGAGGAACTTTGTCAAATGATTTAGTGAAGTCCATATTGATCATGTCCACCACTCTGCCTTCATCAATCTTCTTTGTTGCTTCTTCAAAAAACTCAATCATTAGTGAGACATGATTTCCCTCCCATAAAGCCATGTTGATTATCCCTAATCAATCCTTGCCTTTCCAAACACTTGTAAATCCTGTCCCTCAGGATTCCCTCCAACAACTTGACCACCACTGATGTCAGGCTCACCGGTCTATAGTTTCCTGGCTTTTCCTTACCACCTTTCTCGAATAGCGACACCACGTTGACCATCCTCCAGTTTTCCAGCACCTTACCTGTGGCTATCGATGATACAAATATCTCAGCAAGGCGCCCAGCAATCACTTCCTTTGCTTCCCACAGTGTTCTAGAGTACACCTGATGGAATCCCAGAGATTTATCTATCTTTATACGTTTTAAAATGTCCAGCAGCCCCTCCTCTGTAATATGGAAATTTTTCAAGATGTTGCTATTTATTTCCCCACGTTCTGTATCTTCCATACCCTTCTGTCCTCCAAGGAGGACATCTCCAGCTTCACCAATCTATTCTCAAAACTGAAATCCAACATCCCTGGAACTGTTCTTGGAAACATAACATTTGTCAACTTTTTCCAATGCCTTCATGCCCTTGCTAAAGTGGGGTTATCGGAATATGAAAATGGTTTCAAGATTTGGAATGCGCTACCTGAAAATATGGTGGAGGCAGATTGCGGCTTTCAAATTGGAATTGAATAATTATTTGAAGATGAGCATTTTTAGAACAACAGGGAAAAGACTCGGCAGGCAGGATTAGCTGAGTTGATTTTATGGTAAATGGCCTCCACATATGCTATAACTAGTCCACAATTTTAATGGTGAGCATCAAGGGAAATGAGGTGTTCTGGCGTGGGTGGAAAACAACTTTAAATGCTGTGAGCTTCTACATTAAGTTTGTATGTCTGCCATAGTACCACTTGAACCATTCTGTTACCAACCTTTGGATGTCTTGTTCATTGGTCTGTTCAATTAAGGCAGGAGTCCATTACCTGTGTTGAGAGCCTGCTTGTTTCTTAGTCACAAAGCCACGGGTTGAGGTCTCATGCAAACACAAAAATCAAGCCTAATGCTTTATTACAATACTGGTCTTTTATACAGGATGGGAAACTAAGCCCTGTGTCTTCCCTCTTGTATGGATGTAAGTCATCTCATGGCACTGTTTGGCTGAAGGGCAGATGAGTTATTGGCAGAGTTCTCAAGCAAAAACAGAAAAGCAGATCATTTGGTCATTAGTCCATTGCTGGTGTTGAAGTTTGCTGTGTGCAAATTAGCTGCTATGCTTCCTACATTACCACAACACTTCAAAAGTTATTCGTTGACTGTTAACTGCATTAAGACATCCTGAGGTCACAATAGATGCTACGTAAATACAAGTTCTTTGATATGGGGCAGCACAGTGGCTCACTGCTCACCCCAGTGGCTCACCCCAGTTTATGGGGATTGACCATGTTAAATTGCTCATAGTGTCCAATGATGTGCAGGCTAGGTGGACTAGCCTCAGGAAATGCAGGGCTGTAGGGATAGGGTAGGGGGGTGGGTCTGGGTGGGTTAGTCTCGATGGACCAAATGGCCTCCTTCCACATTGTAGGGATTCTATGATTATTTGTAGCTCAGTAGAGTTGGAGACCTTTCTGTTCGGTTGGAATCTGATTGTGTCCTGATTTTATGAAGACGGGGATAAGTTTAATCAGGGAAGTACTCAGCCGTCAGCCTGCCCTCTACCTACTGTAAAGACAATACTAATGATCCTAAGAAGGGTGTGCTGTATGATCATTAGAAAGGGAAGGATCCTTCTGACATTCTCAGTATGGCTTCCAAGAAAGGCCATGCCTTACAAACATGCTGAGACTTTTATAAAGTAAGAATAGGTTAATGGATGAGGATATGTTAGATGTTACTCCTTGCCAGCTCAAAAGGCTGAATGGCCTCATACTGTGCCATAACTTTTCTATATGGACCTATGGACTTTCAGAAAGTTTGTGCCTGGGACTAAATATCCTGTACCCTGGATTATTAATTGGCCCCAGTCCTACAGGCTGAAAATGATTGTGGATCATTGTTTAATTTATTCTTGTTCACTGATCTTACACAGCCTGTGGGTGCTATTCAATATGAACTCGGACACAGTATGCGTGGAGAGGTGGAGAAGGTATTGCTGTGAAATTAGGAAACTCAGAATGACGGGCTTCCCAAGGGTTCTACCAAATTTAATAACAATATCTGGCTGACATTTCTTTCTGACTCCCTTCCAAGGCTCTAGCCAGCCAGATTGAGAGGCAGTTTAGCAGTCAGTCAGATAGGTCTATGACACTGCTGCAGCTGCGGGTGGAGAGGAGACAGGAGGGGTCAAAAAAATTGGTGTACTGAGTATCTTGACCAAGATCAGTATCTGAAGGTTGCAGAAGATTCAAAGCCTCATGAAGGGGTTGGGATTGCAGGGGTTCATAATGGGATTGCAAGATGATTGTGGGGAGTTAGAAAATGAGTGTACTGGGTGAGTGGTTAGTCATGTTTGATCTAGGGCAATTGACCAAACAGGTAAACTGTATCCAGCGAGTAAGTGATATCTCAGAGAGAGCTGGTACACACAGAGACACACAGAGACACACAGACACTCAAACACATTCACATATATGCACACACACTCCCTCTCTCCAGGAAGGTTTGGAGCTTATTGTTGACAGAATTATGAATTGCTCAGCTTTCCTTTCTCTCTCATTCCATGTTAATGACTGTGAGCTTTCAGCTAATCTAGCTGCACTGATTTTTTTTTTCTTACAGCCAAAGGACAGAAGCAAGGCTCAAAGAGCAAAGAGGATGCACCTCATGAGTTAGAGAGTCAGTACATTTTGAGGCTGCCATCAGTAAGTGTTTCACATTCTGTTCAATAAAGTGAGGTATGGGTTCATGTGCTGAGACTTGGGGTGACAATTCAGATTTTTTAATGGCTTCAACTAAGAATGAAAATGAATAATGCAGGCTTTGGAAATATTAAACGGAATACACTGTAATAGTAGAATTTGACCACAATAATGAGACCATTCGGCCCATTGTTCCTGTGTTGTCTCTTCGAAAGAACTATCCAAGTAATCCCACTCTCTTGTTCTTTTCCCACAGTGCTGCAAATTATACCTTTTGCACTATTTATCTAATCCACTGTTGCAATTACTCGTGAGTGAACTTCCACTGTTCTTTCAAACAGCACAGACCAGACATTATCACAATGTGTAAAGAAAATGCCATCTGTTTCAACAGCTTCGGAAAAGGTACCACATGGTAGACTCATGGCAAAGGTTAATATATGGGAAGTTACAGGACAAAACCTAAATGGATAATAAATTGGCTAAACTAGAAAGCTAATTCAAGGAAAGTTGTTCAGAACAGAGGAAGGCAGAAATCATGTTTCGCAAGGATCAGTTCTGGGAGTTCATCACTAATCATAGTAATTCAGTTTGGATTTTGTGTCTGAGGAAGAATACAGGACAACATAAACAGTACTGGAAAACTTACAGTCAGAGTATTAAATAACTTGAACATCTATAAGTGGCAGGTTATACATTTTACTAGGAAGTTTACAAACATCACCTGCACCTATGAAAATAAGAATGCTGACCAACAGTTACAACAGAACAGTTGATCATTTCTAACACCCTGTCTGTGAAGAAGTGCATCTAGACATTACGCATGAACAGCCTAACTGTAATATCAATCAGTCTCTTGTTCTAGATAGTGGCACAAGATTAGACATTTACCTCTCTGTACCCTGTCAACTCCTTTAATCATCTTAATTAGACCATTGCTTAATTTTTATATTCTAGTCTATGCAACCTGCCCAAAAAAATGTGACCTTTGTTGCCTTGGTATCATCCTCATTACTCTGCTAGCATTCAGAACTGAAGTCATGTAGTACTCTGAATGGGATCTAGTCAAAGCTGCATTCAACTGAACCATCACTTCATACCCTTTGTATTCCAACCTCTTTGAGATACAGGCCAATATTTCATTAATATTTCATTAGGTTTTTCTCTCTGTTTATCAAGTGTTGATGATTTCTTTCATTGGACCCTGAAGTCTCTCTGCTCCTCTGCACTTCTGTACATCCCATTCTGTGGAAATTTTATGATCTATGTTTTCTGCATCAACGTGGATGATTTCAAACTTACCCACAATAAACTCCATCTAACTAAACTCCACAGTTTTGCCAAGTTACTCTACCCATCTTTGCAACTTGCTACTTCCATTGTCATGGTCTGCTGTTCCTACCAACTTAGTACACTGAAGTAGGTGGATTTCCTTTCATAATAATTCAAGTCATTTATAAACATTTGAGGTCCCAATACACATCCCTGTGGATCATCCCTTGTTATGTCTCACCCCTAGTCATTTTTCACTAATTGTTCCATCTGCGTTTCCAACCATACAATGAATTCTCTAACCTATTGGCTCAGTTGTCTTCAGTTCCATGTTTGTTTTCAGTTTGAATAAGATGGAAGATTTGTGGAAGTTCCATGTGTCTGTGTGAATGTGGTTATGAATTATGCACACTGCATAGTTTCCAGTCTGTGCTTTCTCTCTGCAGGAACACGCAGCCACCGTGCGGAGAGCTGTACAATCTGGAAATATTAACCTCCGGGACAGACTGACCATTGAACTACACCGTAAGTGTTTTTGGCTTATAATTCATAATTGCTCACCATTTATCTCTTCTTTCAAGCTGCGCTGTATTTCAAGCTGGTTTTTTCAATCTTGGCAACAGTTTTTTCTTCCAACTTGATTCCCTCTGCTGTTACTACTCTCCCGTTCCAGTGCCTACTGTGTATTTCCTGGTACTTCCTTTCCACCTGGGCAATGATTGTCAATGTGCTTTTCAGCCACCAAGAGCTGCACAGCCAATCATGATTGGACGTTCAAGCATTTCCAGTATGTCTGAATCAAAGTTAGCTTGCCTGACTTGGAGACATATCAGGGTCATATTTAAATATTAAATACAGTGGTACACTGTTCGACAAATAAGCATTTGATGCTGGATCAATTATTAATTTTAAATGTGAGACAGATAATTTTTTGTTAAGCAAAGGTATTAAGGGATGCCAAATACAGGTATCTGAAGTTAAGCCATAGATTGGCCATGATCTCATTGAATGGTGGAACAGGCTTGAGAGGCCGAATAGCCTACTCCTGTGCCTATGTCATCAGTGGTTGGAATTAGTTTAACATCTGTCAAAGAGAAAACATTAGATGCTCCTAACGGCATGAAAACAGGGCACTTGGATAAGTTCAAGACAATCAGGGAAAACCAACATGTTTTTGTCAAAGGGAAATTGTGTAACTAATTTATTGGCGTTCTTTGAAGAAATAATTTGTGCTGTCAACAAAGGGGAATCAACGGATGTATTGTATTTAGATTTCCAGAAGGTATTTGATAAGGGGCCTAAAACAAAGATTATTGTGGAAAAAAGAAGCTTATGATGTAGAGGATAATGCATTGGCATGCATGGAAGATTTCAGAGACAAGGACTAAGCGGTTCTTTTTCGGGCTGGCAGGATGTTACAAGTGGTGTGCTATAGGGGTCAGCGTTGGGACCTCAACTATTTACAATTTATATAAATGATTTGGATGAAGGGATCAAAGGTACGGTGGCTAAATTTGTTAATGACACAAATTATAGGTAGGAAAGTGAGTTATGAAGAGGACATAAGTGCAGTGATTTAACGAGGTCAGCCAGGTGGACCTCATTGAAATTGACTTCCCTGATTGGAACTGTTAACTTGGTCCAATCAGGGAGCACTGGCTGATAGATATAAACAGGAGTGTCAGATTCTGCTTACTGAGAGAGAAGGCAAACCAGTGTCAAGTACTATGCATGTGTAAATGACGGGTGACTTGGTGAGGGGGACACTAGCCTCTGTGTAGTTATTTCAATAATGAGCTTACAGAGGGATATAGATAGACTAAGTGCATTGATAAATTGACTACAATGTTAGAAAATGTGAAATTGTCCATTTTGGCAGAAAGGATGAAAAAGAAGGACATTATCTCAATGGTGAGAGGTTGCAGAGCTCAGATTTGGAGAAATCTGCGTTTCCTAATGCATGAATTACAGAAGGCTAGTGTGCAGCTAGAGCAAGTAATCATGAAAGCTAATGAAATGTTATGGTTTATCGTGAGGGGAATTAAATACAAGAGTAGGGAGGTTATGCTTTAGTTATAGAGGGCATTGATGAGACCACATCTGGAGTACTGTGTACAGTTCTGGTCAGCATATTTACAGAAAGATGCCAATATGTTGGAAGCAATTTAGAGGTTTACTTGACTAATATCTGGAATGAGCAGATTGCCTTATCAGGACAGACTTGTCCTGTATCCTCTGGAAGTTCAGAAGGATCAGAGATGACTTAATTGAAACATAAAAGATCCTGAGAGGACTTGAATGTAGATGTTAAAAGGATGTTTCTCTTGTGAGCGAATTTAGAACTAGGGTTCATAACTTAAAAATAAGGGACCTTCCATTTAAAACAGGTGAGGAAATTTTATTTCTCTGAGGGTTAAGGGTTTTTCTTTGTGAGTCTTTTGAATTCTCTTCCATGAAAGGTTGTGGATGCAAAACCTGTAAATATGTTTAAGGCAGAGGCCGATTATATTGCTGATGATCAAAGGGATGAAAAACTATCAGGAATATAGAGTTGAGGTTAAATTCAGATCAGCCATGGAATGGCCGAGCAAGCTGGAACAGCTGAATGACTTACACTCATTCCTTGATCATATGTTTGTATGTTCGTAACTGAGCTGAGGGTGAATGAGTGCTCTCTTAAGGTTTTGCATAAGGTCCTTGGTTTTATATTGTATGTTTTACACTCCACTAATAATACTAAAAGTCTTAAAGGCCTTTTTAACAAGCTTTTCAGTTTGGCCTTCACTTTGTATATGTGATCTCCCAGTCTGTCTGTTCCTGCACCCTCTTTAAAATTGTATTTTGTCATTGATGTTGCCTCTCATTCTAAAATGCATCACCTCATACTTCTGTATGTTAAATTTAACCTGTGGTTAGACTGCTACTATCCTCCTCACTGTTTACAACAATTCATAGTTTGTATCATGTGCAAATTTGTGCCTTGTACTGCCAAACCCAGGTCATTTAAATTACATCAAAAAGAGTAACTGAACCTGTTGCAGACTCCTGAAGGACATTCCCCATACACTTCCCTCTTGTATTAGAAACAACCTTTCACCACTACTCAAATAAAAGGAGAATGAGTTCTGAGGAAGCGTAATACGAGACGTTAACGCTGTTTCTTTCTCCACAGATACTGCCAGACCTGTTGAGTTTCTCCAGCATTCTTTGTGTTTGCTTCACCATTACCTTCTGTTCGTGTCTCTTGGATATATTTATATTCATGCAGCCACTATGCCTTTGAAACTCTGTGCTTCAGTTTTGCTATCAAGGTCATTCTGTGGTGCTTTCTCAAACATTTATTGAAAATTCTCAAAAACAACATGAATCACAATGCATCAGCCTCTGGTGACTTTATTAAAGAACTCCATCATGTTCATCAAGCACCGTTTGCCTTTAAATAATCCCTATTCACCATCATTTATTAACCTGTGATTTCCCAGCAACAGTTACATTTGTCACAAACAAAAACAGAAATTGCTGGAAAAGCTCAAAACAGTTCCTTGGAAGGGTCACTGGACCCGAAACATTAACTCTGATTTTTTTTTCTTCTTCGCGGATGCTACCAGACCTGCTAAGCTTTTCCAGCAACTCCTGTTTTTGTTCCTGATTTACAGTATCTGCAGTTCTTTTGGTTTTTAGTTAAATTTATCTCCAATTATCGACCTTAAAGATTAACCTCTGGGAAAAGAAGACACCAACATATAACCTGGGCCTTTCCCCACATCCATTTCTATCTTTGCAAACCCTTATCCAGTTCCCTCTTATGTCCTCAGACCTAGAGAATGCTGGAGAATTCATCAGGTTTGGCAGTATCTGTAGAGAGAGAAACAGTTAATGTTTCAAGTCTGGTGTGACTCTTCAGAATATTTTACATCCTGTTTCAGTGTTTGCCTCAACAGCTGCTTATAGCAAACAATTTCTTTCTCTAACAACACCGTGTTAATATTGAGTGTCACTTTAGGATTCACTTCCACAACTTCACTCAATCTTGGCGGAACTATGAGACTCAAAGGGACTTGAGGGTGGGTATTTGGAGGAGAGTGTAAATGCAGTAGTACAGATATGTAAGACTGGTTTCTGTTCTCACTCTCACAGCGGATGGCCGGCATGGCATTGTGCGAGTGGACAAGCAGCCCTTGGCTGCCAAGTTAGTTGATCTGCCATGTATCATTGAATCCCTCAAGACCATTGATAAGAAGACGTTCTACAAAACTGCTGACCTGTGTCAGGTTTGGTTATCACATTATTTTTCACAATAAAAAGCAAAGTTCCACACACTGGATTCAGATCAGAACTAGCAGTAATGAGCAGCATGGACCCTTTTTCTGAAAGACAAGAGATTGTTTGTTTCTACTATTGGTAGGATTTATTCTGTCATTTGTTCATTTTTATTCCAAGGGTAATGGTGAGAAGAAATCATTGAAACTGGCAGGACAGGTTGAGAGAGTGGTTAATGAAGCATACAACATGCTGGACTTTGTTAATGGGACCAGAGTAGAAAGTGGTATTAAACATGAACCCCAGAGGTGAGATGGGAATGACTGCCCTTAATAAAAAGGCAGCACTTGACCAAGTGTGCATCGAAGAGTCCTCACAAAACTGGAGTCAGCTGCTTCATCAATGACCTTCCCTCCATCATAAGGTCAGAAGTAGGGATGTTCGCTGATGATTGTGCAATGTTCAGCACCATGTGTGACTCCTCAGATACTGAAACAGTCCATATTCAAATGCAGCCAGATTTGGACAATATCCAGGCTTGGGTTGATAAGCGGCAAGTAATATTAGCACTACAATAGTGCCAGGCAGTGACAATCACCCACAACAGGGAATCTAACCATTATCCCTTGCTATTTAGTAGCATTACATCAGTGAATCCTCCATAATCAACATCCTGGGTTCCACTGACTAGAGACGGAACTGGACCAGACATATAAATACAGTGGCTACTTCAGCAGGTCCCACCTCCTGAGTAATTCGCTTGCCTGGTGAGTGCAGCTGCAACAATGCTCAAGAAGCTCAACACCATCCAGCATAAGCAACGATTTGTTTCAGAGATAGTAGGAACTGCAGATGCTGGAGAATCTGAGATAACAAGGTGTAGAGCTGGATGAACACAGCAGGCCAAGCAGCATCAGAGGAGCAGGAAGGCTGACGTTTCGGGCCTGGACCCTTCTTCAAAAGTATACAGAAAAATGGGTATACAGAATTGGTTACTGGATTATTAGCCCAGTCACATAACCTCTACACTAGGGCCTAAACATCGAACAATGGCCTGGATTACTGGATTATTAGCCCAGTGACATGACCTCTGCACTAGGACCTAAACATCAAACAATGGCCTGGGTTACTGGATTATTAGCCCAGTGACCTTCTGAAGAAGGGTCTAGGCCCGAAACGTCAGCCTTCCTGCTCCTCTGATGCTGCTTGGCCTGCTGTGTTCATCCAGCTCTACACCTTGTTATCTAAGCAACGATTTGATTGGCACCACATCCACCGCTTTCAACATTTGAGCTATTTATCACTAAAACCTAGTGGCAGCACTGTCCTCATTTACAAGATGCACTGCAGCAACTTACCAAGGATCCTCTGCCAATGCATTTTAAACCCGTGACCACTACCACCTAGCAGGAGATGGATAGCAGGGTCATGAGAACAGTGGGAACACCACCGTCTGCATGTTCTCTTCCAAGCCACACACCATTCTGACTTGGAACTACATCACTTATCCTTTACCACGAAAAGGTAGGGGTAGCACAGTATCTCAGTGGTTAGCACTGCTGCCTTTCAGCACTAGGGACACAGGTTTGATTCCAGCCTTGGGCGTTTGTGGTCTGTGTGGAGTTTGCATGTTCTCCCTGTGCTTGAGTGGCTATCCTCTGGGTGCTGCTGGGTAGTGGGTGGGCCAAAGGAAACATGGCTGACGACGTAGATGGTGGCAGGGCTGAGGAGGCAAGGAAAGATGGGGGCTGAGGGTGAGTGAGGAGATGGCTACGGCCAGGGAGGATGAGAGGCCAAGGGTGTGAGTGGGATGCCGAGGCAGGGAGTCAGTCAGAGGAGAAAATAGGGTCTTAAAGTGCATAGCGACATTCTGTGGATTGAAAACTGTCTCAGCTGCATTATTTCTTGTCCCTGTTGCTCTAGATGTTGGTGTGTTCCACTGATGGGGAGCTGTACCCTCCACAGGAGGAACCTGTACCTGCTGATCCTAAAAACAAAAAGAAGGACAAGGACAAGGAGAAGAAATTCCTGTGGAACCACAGCAGTAAGTCACGTTATGCTCACAGTTTATGCAGTAATAGAGAAATTATTGTGGGTCTCAGTACCTTAGGCAGTGAATAGAAAATATTCAGGCAGGATTACTAGTCCTGACTATTCTCCAGTGACTCCATCGATGCAGTGCATCTGTAAATATCAAGGCAAGCATCAGGCTTGATTGTGATGCCTCACATATTCAAAGTATCTGCCCTTTTATTGACTTTATCACAGGGAAAGGCCACTTGAATAGCATTGAGTCATCAGCTGGCCTGAGTAGGACTTGCTCTGTAGGAGCAGAACATTAGAAGAAACCTCAGTTCTGAGGATGGGTTACTGGACCCAAAATGTTAACTCTGATTTCTGTCCGCAGATGCTGCCAGACCTGTTAAGCTTTTCCAGCAACTTCTGTTTATGTCTCCGATTTACAGCATCCGCAGTTCTTTTGGTTTTTATGGAAAATGCAGGGGTGCAGTAAGAACTGAGATGCAGAAAGCGCAAAGAGAACATGAAAAACTATTGCCAATAAAGTCAAAGAAATTCCATATATGTTCTGTCACTACATTAAAAGCAAGAATATAACTAAGAAAAGGGTATCAGAGATGTACATGGTCATGTGCTTGAACACAGAAGATGTGAGTAGGCTTCTGAATTAGTTCTTTATCCTCTCCTTTGTGAAGGCAGAGACAATGTAAGTGTTCTAAATAGGGAGGAGGTGTGTGAAATTTTTGATAAATGAAGTGTATTCGTTGGGAAGTACTGGAGGAACTAACCTTCTTGAAAGAGAATATATCGCCTGGGCATGATGATTTGTATCCCAGACTGTTGAAGGAAGCCAGAAAGGAAATAATAGATCCTTTGAGGATCATTTTCCAATTCTGAATAGATACGATTGAGGTATCAGACCATTGGAAGTCTGCAAATGTTGAACCATTATTTGAGAAGGGTCTGAGGGATAGGCCAAATAATTATATGCTGTTTAGTCTGACTCTGTGGTAGGCAAATTATTTGAATCAATTCAGAGAGATGGATAAACTGTTACTGAGAAAGGCACAGAGTAATCAGGGAGAGTTAGCATGGTTCTGTTATGGGCAATTTGTGTCTTACTTTCCTTTTTTGAAGAGGTGACAATGAGGATTGTTGAAGTTAATTTAGTGGATTTAGAAAGGAATTTGGCAAGGTCTCACATCGAACTGGTCAGAAAAACAAAAGCCCAAGAGAATGTGGATCAGTGACCGGGAATAAAGGTAGTTGGATCTATTTGGGAATGGAAAATAGTTTCCAATGGTTTCGGTGCTGGGTCTCTTGCTTTTTGTGATTTGTAATAATGATTCTGATTTAATTGTATGAGGCATAATTGGGAAATTTGTAAATGACACTAAAATTGGCCAGGTACATGATAGTGAAAAGAGTAGCTGTTAATTGCAGAATGATGTCAGTAGTTTGGCATTGTGTTGGAGGCAGTTTCAATTGCGGCATTCAAGGGAGCATGAGATAATTATTTAATTAGAAACGTGGTTATGGAGAGAAGGCAGAGGTTTGGCATTATGTCAGAATTTTCAGATAGCTGGTGCAGATGCAGTGTGCCGAATGGTCTCCTCCTGCATGGTAACAATTCTGGCGATGTGTGTGGGTGAATAGACAAAAGTGTCAAATAGAATTTCATCCAGGGAAATGTGAGGTTATGCATTCAAGCAGGCAAACAAAACAAACGGGGTTGGTGGGGATGGAATTGAGAGGAGTACAAGAAGTGAGAGACCTTAGAGTGCATGTCCTCAGGTCCATGGAGGTGGCAGGACATTTAGATAAGGTGACGAAGAAAGCATATGGAACACTTCTGTTCATTGGTAATGTATTAAACACAAAAACCGACAGAACCTCATACTTCTCTGGGTTAAATTCTATTTTTCACTTCTCCCACTCAAATGAATGCAAAACAGAACTTATTGTGTAGAAGGAGGCCATTTGGCCCATTGTGTCTGTGAGCCTTTTGGCTTAATGCTAGAACTGTGTAAAATATTAATTTGGTTGCAGCTGGAGTTTGTGTACAGTTCTTGTCACTGCATTACTGAAAGGACGTAATTATTCTGGAGTGAATGCAGAGTGAATTTACAATAAGGTTGTCAGGGCTTGAAAATGGCAGCAATGAGGAAATACTGAGTAGGCAAGTGTCATTTTCCTTAGAATAGAAAAGGAGTGACTTCATCAATGTGTACAAAATATTAAGGGGCAAAAGTAAAGGCAATAGGAAAAACCTGTTTCACCTAGTGAAGAGGTCATGGACCAGGAAGCACAAATTTAGGATAGTTTGTAGAATGTTTTCAGGGAACATAAAAGAAAAATCTTTCCATCAAGAGGTTGGTGAGTGTCTGGAATTCACCTCAGTTGAAAGGACCTGGATCTGCATCTGAAGTGCTGTAACCTGCAAGGCTATGGACCTGGTGCTGGAAAGTTGGATTAAAATGGGGAGGCTCGTTTATTCAGCTAGCACAGAGGCGATGGGCTGAACAGTCAGATTCTGTGCTGTTAATTTTCCATGGTTTTCTGTGGGCCTTCAGGAAAGTAATAGGAAGAGTGGTAATTAAACGAGAAACGTTCCCAATTAGCACTGTACGGGAATCAGATTACTGACAAGGGGTTGCGTTATCCTGTTTGGCACGGGGCTGTGTAGTGCATTCAAGGGGGGTGTTAATATACTGGCGTTGTATTCATACAATGGCAGGCTTAGGAAATGCATCTTCTAGCTTTGCCTGTGGTAGAATGAACAAGCCTACAGGCTTTTTTAACCAGAATTGTGGCTGAAGTGAGTGGGCTATCCTACACCGACACAACATACGCCGGAGCTGCGGCAGTATTCAGCAGTATAATTCTAGACTTTGTTGTTCTAAACCTAGGCTGTCCATGTAGAATAGTTTACAATGTGAAATACTGGGACTAAACTGCTGCATTGGGGAGTCAGTGAGAGGCTCACAGCAGAGAATAAGACGATAATTTACAGGATCAGAGTTAAGCCATTCGGCCCATTGAAGCTGCTCTGCTATTGGATCATGGATGTCAATCCCATTGTCCTGCCTTTTCCCCATAACCAGCGATCCCCTTACTAATTAAGAACTTATCTCTCTCTTTCTTAAAGAAGACTCAATGATTTAGCCTCCACAACCCTCTGCGGCAACAGCTTCCACAGATTCACCATCCTCTGGCTGAAGAAATTCCTCCTCATTGCAGTAATGGAGGGTTATTTGTTTACTCTGAGGCTGCACCTTCGGGCCTGAGTGTGTTCTAATAGTAGAAACACCACCTTCGTGTCCACTCTATCCAGGCATCTCAATATTCGATAAGAACAGAGAACATAGAACAGTACAGCACAGTACAGGCCGTTCGGCCCACGACGTTGTGCCGAACTTTTACCCTAAACCTAAGGTCTATCTAACCTCCAGGTTCAATGAGATCCACCCCCATCCTTCTAAACTCCATTGAGTACAGACCCAGAGTTCTCAATTGCTTCTCACATGACAAGACCTTCATTCCTGCAATCACTCCTGTAAACCTCCTCTGGTACCCCTCCAAGCCCAACATATCCCTCCTTACATACAGGTCCAAAACTGCTCACAATATTCCAAATTTGGTCTGATCAGAGCCTTGTACAGTCTCAGCAGTACATCCTTATTCTTGTATTCTAGCTGTCTTGAAATGAAACTAAATTGCATTTGCCTTTGTAATTGCCAACTGAGCCTGCATGGTAACCTTAAGAGAATCCTAAACTAGGATTCCCACATCCCTTTGTGCTTCAGATTTCCAAAGACTTTCCCCATTTAGAAAATAGTCTAGGCCTCGAATCTCCTACCAAAGTGCATAACCTCTTACTTTCCCACATCTCATCCCATCTGCCACTTTTTTGCCCACTGACTTAACCTGTCCAAGTCCTTCTGCACTACCTGTCCTTCCATCTTCTTTGTGCCATTTGCAAACTTAGCAACAATGCCCTCGGTCCCTTTGTCCAGATCATTGATATATAATGTGAATAGTTGTGGTCCCAACACTGACCCCTGTGGAATTCCACTAGTCACTGGCTGCCAACCCACAAAAGACCCCTTTATACCCATTCTCTGCCTGCTGCCAGTCTGCCAAACCTCCATCCATGCTAGTAATGCTATTGTCATATTTCATCTTCTCCCCTAATTGCTTTTTCCACTTGTCCTCTGCTGGTTTTCAAAGGCTTCCCAATCCTCCGGATTTCCACTAATCTTCACCCCTTTGTTTGCTTGCCCCTAACACCATGTGCTCTAATTTAGCAGCATCCTGTGCAGCACCTTGTCAAGGACCTTCTGGAAATCCAAATAGATTATGTCCACTGGCTGTCCTTTGTCAAACCTGCTCATTATCACCTCAAAGAAGTTTATCAGATTGCCCAGGCATAACCTCCCCTTTATGAAGCAATGCTAACTCAATCCTATTTTACCATGCACTTCCAAGTACTCTGCAATCTCATCCTTCATAAAGGACTGTATAAAATCTTGCCAATGACCTAACTGGCCTATATTTTCCTGTCTTGTGCCTCCCTTCCTTCTTAAACAGGGGTATTACATTAGCCATTTTCCAGTTCTCTGGGATCCTTGGTGACTCTAGTGATTTCTGAAGATCACCACCAATGCCTCTACAATCTCCTTCAGAACCTTCGGTGTAGTCTATCCAATCTGGGTGACTTATTCGCCTTCAGATTTTTCAGCTTCCCCAGCACCTTAACCTTAGCAATGGCCACTGCAATCACCTCTGCCCCCAACACTCTTACTATTGGTATGTTACTGGTGTCTTCCAAAGTACCTATTCAGTTCCTCCTCCACTTCTTTGTACCCCATTAGTACTAGTCCCTCATTTTCCAGCCATCCAATGTCCACACTTGGCAAGCTCCTCCCTGTGTCTTTGTAGTTACCTTTACTCAATTGTAATAATGTTACATCTGATTCCAACTTCTTGCTGTCAAACTGCAGGGTGAATTCTATCATGTTGTGGTCACTGCTCCCTAGGGCTTTCTTTACCTTAAGCTCCCTAATCCAGTCGTCTTCATTGCACATCACCAAATCCAGAATCGTCTCATGAGCTCTACCACAAGGTGCTCCAAAAAAAAAATCTTGTAAGCATTTCTGCTATCAACCTCATTTTGCCAGTCCACCTGCGTATTGAAGACCCCATGATTACTGTAATAGTGTCTTTCTTGCATGCCTTTTCTAACTCCTGATTTATTCTCTTGTGGTAGAGCTCATGAGACAATTCTCGATTTGGTGATGTGCAGTGAGGAAGACTTGTTTAGGGAGCTTAAGCTAAAGAAAGCCCTAGGGAGCAGTGACCACAACATGATATATTATCTTCGAGGAAACAGCTCGAACAGTTCATTGACTTCACTAACACCTTCCACCCCAACCTTAAGTTCACCTGGACCATCTCCGATACCTCTCTCTCCTTCCTGGACCTCTCTGTTTCCATCTCTGGCAACTGCCTGGAAACCGATATCCATTTCAAGCCTACCGACTCCCACAGCTACCTGGAATACACCTCCTCTCACCCACCTTCCTGCGAAAATGCCATCCCCTATTCCCAATTCCTTCACGTCCGCCGCATCTGCTCCTGAGATGAGGCATTCCACTCCCGGACACCCCAGATGTCCTCATTTCTCAAGGACCACAACTTTCCTTCCACAGTGGTCGAAAATGCCCTCGATCGTGTCTCTTGCGTTTCCCGCAACTCATCCCTCACACCCCCTGTCTGCAATAAGAACCAAAACAGAATCCCCCTCATCCTGACATACCACCCCACCAACCTCCGGATCCAACGCATCATCCTCCGGCACTTCTGCCATCTGCAATCTGACCCCGCTACCAAGCATATTTTTCCCTCCCCACCCTTATCTGCTTTCTGGAGGGACCAGTCTCTGCGTGACTCCCTTGTCTGCTCCACACTCCCCACCAGCCCCACCACCCCGGCACTTTTCCCTGCAACTGCAGGAAGAGCTATACCTGCCCCTACACCTCCCCCCTCACCCCCATCCCAGGCCCCAAGAAGACATTCCAGATCAAGCAGATGTTCACCTGCACATCTGCTAATATGGTATACTGTATCCGCTGTTCCCGATGTGGCCTCCTCTACATCAGGGAAACCAAGCGGAGTCTTGGGGACCGTTTTGTGGAACACTTACGCTCGGTTCGCAACAAACGACAGCACCTCCCAGTCGCGATGTCACCCGAAGGTTGCAGGAACAGCAACTCCTATTTAGCTTGGGAACTCTGCAGCCCAATGGTATCAATGTGAACTTCACAAGCTTCAAAATCTCCCCTCCTGCCACCTCAAGCCCCACCCCCACCTCCTACCTACCAGCCTCATCCCGCCTCCTTGACTTGTCTGTCCTCCCTGGACTGACTTATCCCCTCCTAACTCCCCATCTACACTCCCCTTTACTGGCTTCAACCCCGCCTTTTTGACCTGTCTCCTCTCCACCTATCTTCTCCTTTATCCATCTTCTATCTGCCTCCCCCTCTCTCCCTATTTATTTCCAAATCGCCTTCCCCTCCCCCATTTCGGAAGAAGGGTCTAGATGGAAACGTCAGCTTTCCTGCTCCTCTGATGCTGCTTGGCCTGCTGTGTTCATCCAGCTCTACACCTTATTATCTAAATCTGTTAGCTAGTTCCTTGTTGGAGAAATACAAACATTTCACTTCTCTGTATTCTTCCCGAAGCCCTCTATTAATCCTAAACTAATCACACAGTCCTACTCTCTCCCAGTAGCCTTGAATCAGGCTTGAACTAATCGCACTGCTTCGCTGTCTCCCACAGCACTGTGACAATCCTATCAAATCCAGCTGGTTCACACTGTCCCCATAGTACTGTATCAAGCCTGAAAAAGTTTCACTGTTCTGCTGTCTCCCCAGAACCCTGCTTCAATCCCAAACTAATCCAATCCCTATAGCCCTGTATCAATCAATAAACCCACTGCCCCAATGTCTCCTCATAGACCTGTATCAATTCCAAAGTAATCCCACTACCCTGCTCAGTCACCATAGCCCTGAGTCAATCCTGAATTTATCCCACTACCTCATTCTTTCCTTATGGATCTCTATCAAATTTCAGGAATGAGCTGTGTAGTGGGATTCATTCATAAATCTGAATCAATCCTGAACTAATCCCACTACCCTGCTGTCTCTTGATAGCCCTGTAGCAATACCTAATTCATATGTCTGACCTTGTTCTCATTCTCAAGTTGATCCCACTGCCTCGTCTTTGCTCAGTAACCCAATCTGAATCCCAACTAATGCAAATGCCTTGTTCGCTTAGAGCAGAACTGTTCCAATCAAGAACCAATTCTGTATTAAGGGATAACAAGGTGTAGAGCTGGATGAACACAGCAGACCAAGCAGCATCAGAGGAGCAGGAAAGCTGACGTTTCGGGCCTAGACCCTTCTTCAGAAGGTCACTGGGCTAATAATCCAGTAACCCAGGCCATTGTTCGATGTTTAGGCCCTAGTGCAGAGGTCATGTCACTGGGCTAATAATCCAGTAATCCAGGCCATTGTTCGATGTTTAGGCCCTAGTGCAGAGGTTATGTGACTGGGCTAATAATCCAGTAACCAATTCTGTATACCCATTTTTCTCCTCAGTCCTGTACCAATCAGATGACCGTAGGTTCATCTCCTATCTGACTGACCACTATAGTCTGAAAACGCCTGATCTCAGAAGCTAAGCAGACTCAAGCCTGGTTAGTACTTGATGGGATACCACCTGGGAATAGTAGGTGCAGTAGACTTTAACAGAAGCAGCACAACTCTTCACAATGCCAGGGACCATGTTCGATTCCACCCTCGGGCGACTGTCTGTGTGGAGTTTGTACGTTCTCCCCGTGTCTGCGTGGGTTTCCTCCAAGTGCACCGGTTTCCTCCCGCAGTCCAAAGATGTTCAGGCTGTGGACCATGGCAAATGCTGGAGTGATGGGGATGAGGATGGGGATGGGGATGGCGATGGCGATGGGTGGAATGCTCTTTGGAGATTTGGTATTGACTCGATGGGCCAAATAGCCTCTTGCTGCACTGCAGGGATTCTACAATCCTATGAATCTAAAACTAATTCCAGTGCCTCACTCTCTAATTATTGTCCAGAACCAGTCCTTATACTGACATCTTGTGTAAGCAATGTAGGAGGAAGAACAGAGCATCTGTTTCCTAATCCTGTTCAGTACAGAAGCTGCAGCAAAATGGAGACTGGAGAAGAGTAGTGTAATATCTTTAGTGGATTTAAAGTTTAAATAGCTTTGACAAGTGGATCAAATCCACCATCATTCTGGAGTTCCACAGGAGAGTAGAACCTCATGCTGAGTGACAAATGGCAATCTTTTGTTACCATGACTGACGTGCTGCCATTTCCCTTCGATTTCAGTCACATGCCCCCTGAAGAATGTCCGGAAAAGACGATTCAGGAAAACTGCAAAGAAGAAGGTGAGGACTTGAAAAACAATCAATCTCTTATAGCTGCAGGAGTGTATAATGTGTATATCTAATCTGTGTTAAATCAATCCTAAGGATGTTTGATTTCATTGTGTACCTAACAATATAAAAAACAGGAGCTAGACTAGGCCCTACAGCCACTCCAACCAGCTCCACCATTCAAAAATATCATGACTGATTTATGACCTTAACTTCAGGTGAATTACTCAGTATCTAACGCTGTGCTATACCTGTCGTGGGAGTGTTTGATGGGAACAGTGTAGAGTGGGCTGTACTCCGTATCTAACCTTGTGCTGTACCTACCCTTGGAGTGTTTGATGTGGACAGTGTAAACAGTGATCTCATTCTCAGTTTAGAGGAAGCTTTACTTTGGGCGTAATCTGTGGCATGTGGTACAAGGTTAGGCACAGTGCAAGATGAATTTGGTAGCTTGTGCAGAATGAAATTAAAACTTTGATGTTCTCAACCAATACAATGCAACAGTGAGCCTCATTATTTGTTTTTTGTTCCTAGTACATTGAGTCTCCAGATGTCGAAAAGGAAGTGAAGAGGCTGCTGAGCACAGATGCTGAGGCTGTCAGTGTCCGTATCCTTTCTGTTTATGGCAGAAAATAGTGCCTACCGATGTGTGTATCATCATGCGTGACAACAGAGATTAGCAAAGCACGTCGTAGTCTGCAGAGTGGGAGACATGGCAGCCAGTTTCCACCCTGCAGGGCTGTGTAAAGCAGCAAATGGCTGGTCATCTGTTTGTTGTGCTGGCATATGTTTGCCTGATGTGTTTTAAGGGATCAGTGAGAACTTCTCTTTCCTTCTTCCAAATTGGTCATAGTGGGTGCTATCCTTTTCTGATTGAACACTCCCTGTAAACATTGCTGCTCCTGTTTGCTGTATTATTGTAAGCCTTTTGTTCTTCTCCCAATTTGGTGTAGGCAACTCAGATTAAAGCCAGTGATTTCATATCTCTCCAAGCATCCTGAAGGATTGCCTGCTGAGTGGCCAGGGAATGGCATAAGTAGTTTGATCAGTGTTCATTATGGGGGAGAAACCGCACTTGAGTGACCAGTCTGAAGTGAACCCTAGTCAGCTTCCTTTTGATCTAACTGGCTGTTTGTGTTATCACATAGTAATCACTGAAGGCTTAAAGCCTCAGATGTGGTACATGCAGCAAAGTGACATTGAGGGCTGTGTGGTTTCTGCTTTATCAGTGAGTTAAATGGGGAACAACACAAAGAATCTTGATCTCAGCATATTGATTGTGCAGGGCGTGCCTCTGTGAAGAGAGCTCAGGCAATTTGAGAGGAGAGGACGATGTTGAGATGGCTGCTGAATATTTATAAAGTTGATAAATGGTTTGTAAAGGACAGGATGAACATCAAGTGGAGGATTGGATAATTTTGGAGTTTTAGTTTAAATTTTGTAACGCGGGCTTTGGCATTTTAAATCATCTCAATCACCACATCCACAAACATCCACTCCCTCCACCATCGACGCTCAGTAGCAGCAGTGTGTATTATCTACATGATGCACTGCAGAAATTCACCAAAGATCCTTAGACAGCACCTTCCAAATCCATAGTCACTTCCATCTAGAAGGACCAAAGTAGCAGATACGTTGCAACACCGCTACAGATACATCACAAGTTCCCCTACCCAGCCACTTACCATCCTGACTTGGAAATATATCATCATCCCTTCACTGTCGCAAGGTCAAAATCCTGGAATTCCCCCCCATAAATGGCATTGTGGGGCGACCCATAACAGGTGGACTGCAGTGGTTGAGGAAGGCAGCTCACCACCACCTTCTCGAGGGCAACTAGAGTCGGGTAATAAATGCTGGCCAGCCAGCGATGCCCACATCCCATAAATTAATTTTTTAAAAAATTTGCTTTTCCTCCATTTTCTGCGAGGTGAAGACTGGGCTCAGCCAGAGCAGTTGGAATAATAATGTCTCAAACCTTCACAAGCAGTAGCCTGCTGCGTACATCTTTACAGCCACTGCTAGAGTGAGTCCTCATGGTCTACTCTCCTCTGCTCTTGAGATTGCAGCACTTGAGCAGCTTGAATTTCCTCCAGTGTTTGCTGAAGGAAGACGCTCAAGTCTGGTTGACATTGGTCTCTGCATTATGTCCCTTAATGCTGCCTTGTGGGCAGGGTGGGAGGTTATAGCGGAGGATGAAACAAAGGAAGTGGAGAACCAGGGCTCACTGCCAAACCTCGACAGCTCGTCACCAGGATCATCTGGACACAAGCCAGGCCACACCTCAGCAGGTACATAAATGAAAAAGGGCTTACTGGGGTGGGGAACGAGGAGTGAATCCAGGGGGAGAGGGAAGGGCTGGAGACTGATGTGAACCAGGGATGGGAGAATGATTTTGGAATTGTGGTTGCAGGGAGAAGGGAGGGAGATTTGGGGAGGGAGGGGTAAGATTATGGGTTAGGGTGAGACTGGGTGATAAGGTGATATAGGGCCTGACAAGGGGAGTCGGGTTGGAGAACAGTCAGGTGAATGGAGGAGAGAGATAGAGAAGGCCAGGTAAACAGGGAGAGACTGAGCAAAGGATGGACAGAGGGAGCAGGGACAGACGCGGTGCAATGGGACAGAGCAGCAGATGGGATTTGTTGTGAGAGTCTGTAAGAGGCTAGTCCTGGTCAGTGACTTAGAGGCAGAGGAGAGGCCTGAGCTCTGGTGCATCTGCTCCATGTCCGCTCAATGTGTTTTACAGTGGAGAGAGATGAACTGCGTGAGATCTTCAATGACATCAGCAGCAGCAGCGAGGAGGATGAAGATGAAGGTGATCGCCATGATGACGAGAACCTGAACATCATGGACTCGGAGGATGACCTGGCCCGACGCTTGCAACAGAAACTGGAAGAAACTGATGCCCAAATGCAGCCAAAGCAAGAATCCAACCAAATGGGTAAAGTCAATGCTGTGTCTGGCTGACACACAATAGGACACTCACCTACACTTCTGCCCTGTCCTGGTTCTATTCCCCCTGCAAGAAGGAGACCGTTGTGACAGGCCAGAATAGCAGGCGGCACAAGTTCGGACACACAATTGTTTGCACATGTCTTAGTTGCTGTGTAGCCAGGCTGGGAAAGTATTCACCACCAGGAGGATGAGACCCTCTCCCTTCCTGTTGCTTGAACTAACCCTAACCCTAACCCTGTCCAGGACCTGCTTGTGTAGGGGCACTCAGTGCTGACAAGCACAGGGTCTGAACCGAACAAGCCCACAGTTTAGTTCCTGGTGAGTGTGAAATACCATTGGGTTTACTGTGCTCCAGATTAATCTGACCAGTTATTTCTGTTCGTTGTGCGTTTATACTGTCTGAATCACTGCATTACACTCTCTGTTTTTCATCAAAGATGAGCCAACATGGCTTCTTTCTTATGAGGATAATGGTGTAGAGGTAAGAGAGTACAAAGGGATGAGCGTGTATTGAGTAGTGTGATTTCAACAGCTTCCTTCTTGTCTCGTGGTAGTGGTGCAATTCCAGTATGAGATTGAAAAACTGAGAGAGACATTGCAGAAAACCCAGGAGAAGAGGAAACGACAGGAGGACCTTATTATGAAGGTTGAGAATTTGGCATTGAAGGTGAGTAGAGGGACATTAGGCAGATGTCCCAGTTAAAAATTACTTCTTGTCCTCCTTCAGGTGAGATAAAAGTAAATATAAATTCACCACAGTCTTAACAGCCCATAGGGTGTTCTCTCATTAGAGAGAGGCAACTGGTGGTGATTTAATCTGAGGGTCACCATGCCTAAGGGGAAGGAGGATCCTTTACAGTAACCTCAGCTAGTGTGGGAATTGAACCCACACTGTTGGCCTCATTCTGTATCGCAAAATGGCTGTCCAGCCAACTGAGCTAAAACAACCCCCTTACCTTCAGGAGAGACGGAGTCAGCACCTTCAGCAGGGCCCACCTTCGTGGGGGGAGAAAACAAGTCAGCGCCTTCAAGGGCAAAGAGAGAGTCAGCACCTTCGGTGGGGGAGAAAGAGTGTTTTTAGCACCTTCCGGGCAGTAAGAGTCTGCAGATGTGGCAAGATTGGGGAAAGTCGGGAAACAATCAGGAGCTTCTGAACCTCTGAATCAAATCTAGATGTAGTTGTTATGGACTGGTGGGTGTGGCTTTTAGTATCCCAGCCATGTTAGAGCACCACAAGTAAATGTTTCCAGTAGGTTCACTGAGCCTGTGTTTTTCTTTCAGAATCGTCTGCAGGCTGTGGTCGATGAGATCAAACAACAGGAGGAGAAGGAGAAACTACAGGTGAAAGCTTATCTCACTTTCTCACATGCTGTAACCCACTGCAAGGTCATGATCTGTCACACTCTCGAACTCTCTCCCTTGCTGTCACTGCCATAATCTCTCCCTCACTCTCATGCTCATAGTCAGACTCTCTTACAATTGCAACAGGAACAGGAGTGGGCCATTGAGCCCTTCAAGCCAGCTTGGCCATTCCATTAAATCATAATTGATCTGATTGTAAAGTCAAATCTGTACTCCCATTTACCCCAATAACCTTTCACCCTCTTACCAGCAATCTATCTACCTCTGTCTTAAAGATATTCAAAGACTTTGCTTCCACCACTCTTAGGAAGAGAGCTTTAAACACTCTTAACCCTCAGAGTTGTTTTTGTTTCACTTCTGATTTCAGTGGGGAAGCCCTAATTTTTAAACAGTTTTCTCTTTAGAGGAAACGTCCAGTCCGCATCTTCCCTCTTAAGACCCTTCGGGAAATTAGGTGTTTCAATCAAGTTACTTCTTGCTCTTCTAACCTTTGTTCCTCATAAGATAACTTGCACACTTCAGGTATTAATCTAGTAAACCTCTTCTGAACTGTCTCCAATGTGTTTATATCCGTCTTGAAATAAAGTGACCTATACTATTTCCAATAATTGAGATGCAGTCTCACTAGTGCTGTGTATAATTGAAGAATAACTCCTTTTATATTTAACTCACCTTGCAATAGATGATAATATTCTACTAGTTTTCCTAACTGTATGCTGTACCTGCGTACTAACCTTTTGTGATTCAGGCATGAGGATACCCAGATCCCTCTTCATCCAGAGTTCTGCAATCTCTCATCATTTCAATAACATGCTTTTAAAAAAAAATCTCCTGCCAAAATGGATAACTTCATATTTTCCTCATATTATGCTCCATTTGCCATATCTTTTCCCATATACTTTATCTATATTTTTTGTAACCTATTGTGTCCTTTTCACAACTTACTTTCCTTTCTATCTTTGCGACCTCAGCAAATTTGGCAACCTTACCTTCCACTCCTTGATCAAAGTCTTTGACATAAATTGCCAGCAGCTGATGTGCCATCACTGATCCCTGTAGCACACTACTTGTTACATCTTACCAATCTGAGCCAACTGTCTGTTTCCTGCCAGTCAGCCAATCTTACGTCAATGCCAATATGCTGCACCTACATCATGAGCTTTTATTTTCTACAGTAACCTTTGATGTAGTATCATAGCAATGCCTCCTAGAAAACTAAAAACAATATACACCCACCGGTTTCCTTTTATTCACAGCACATGTTATATCCTCAAAGAACTCCAATTGGTTGATCAGACATGATAGACTTCATTATAGGCACTTAACAGAAATAACGAATGAAATAGTTGATGCATTGGTTTTAATTTGCTAAAGCTGCCTTGATTCAGATTTGGTCCCATTAGATTGGATGATAGAGTGTATAACTCCTTTGTTCAAAACAGGAAGGAAATAGAAAGCAGAAAATTATATGCCAGTTAGATCTGTCATAAGGAAAACTTTAGAAGCTATTACTAAAGAAGTTATAGCAGGGCACTTGGATAATTTCAAGGCAGACAGGTAGATTTGCTGGGACTATTTTTCCTTGGAACATCAGAGGCTGAGAGGTGACCTTACAGAGGTTTATAGGATCATGAGGAGCATGGATAGGGTGAATAGCCAAGGTTGTTTTACTAAGGATGGGGAGTCCAAAACTAGAGGGCATAGGTTTAAGGTGAGAGGGGAAAGATTTAAAAAGGATTTGAGGGCTAACCTTTTAACGCAGAGGGTGGTGTATGTATGGAAGGAGCTACAAGAGGAGGTGGTTGAGGCAGGTATAATTACAACATTTAAAAGGCATCTGAATGTGTATACGAATAGGAATGGTTTAGAGGAATATGGGCCAAATGCTGGCAACTGGAACTAGGTTACATTGGGATGTCTGGATGGCGTGGACAAGTTAGACCAAAGGGTCTGTTTCTGTGCTGTATGACTCTATGACTTATAACATTAGCTGTTCTATAGGACAGAGAATAATTCAGGAGGTGATGAGAGCATGTAAAAATTACATTAATCATGTGTGACTTGTAGATTGGGAAAATGAAATTGGCAGAGATAGCCACAAGGGAATGTCAGAGTGTATTTCAGAGTTTCCTAGAACAGTATGTTGTGGGTCCAATCAGTGATCAGGCTATTTTGGATTTGGTGATGTGTTATGAGGCAGGTTTAATAAGTAATCTCAGAGTAAAAGATCCCATCAGGAGCACTGAACATAACATGGTAAAAGTTAGCATTCAGTTTGAGAGTGAGAAACCTGACACTGAAGCAACTGTGCTAAACTTAAATAAGTGTAACTATATGGGATTGAGGGCTAAATTGGCTGGGGAGGACTGGGAAAGGAGTTTAGCAGCAAAGAAGGTTAATGAACAATGGTAAACATTTAAGAAAATAGCTAATGATTCATATCAAAGTTCTATGCCAGTAAGGAACAAGGATCTTAGGAAGGGGATAAAATGACTATAGTTAACCATGGAAGTTAAAGATGGTATCAAATTGAAAGAGGAAACATAAAATGGGGAAAGATTAGTGGTAAATCAGAAGATTGGGAAAGTTTTAAAAGCCAACAAAAGATTACCCAAAAAAAAACAAGAGCAAACCAGCAAGTAAAATACAAACAGGCATTAGGAATTTCTTTAACTATAGAAAAAAGAAGAGAGAGGCAAAGTGAACATACGCTCCTCGGAATGAGGCTAGCAACATAATAGTCAGATGTGAGAGAAGACAAAAGAGTTGAATAAATACTTTCTATCAGCTGTCATGTTAGAGAGCACTAATAGCATTACAAAAATACTGAAAAATCAAGAGTCTAAAATAATGCAGGAGAGGGGAGTAGTGAGGAAATAAATGTAATAACTATTGCTAGACAAAATGGACTAGGGAAATTAATGATGTTAAAGGCTATTGAGTCCCATGTACCTAATGGCTATGATTTTAAAGAAAATAGCTACAGAGATGTTGGTTGCTCAGATAGTAATGTTACAAGAACCCTTAAACTTTGGAAAAAGTCCCAGAAGATTGGAAAACTGCCAATGTAACACCTTTATTCAAAAATAGATGGAAGCAAAGAACAGGTATCAATAGGCCAGATAGCTTAACATCTGTCACTGAAAATGTTAAAGTTTATGATAAAGGATGTAATAGCATAGAACGTAGAAAAATATAATAGAATCATGCAGAGTTGGCATGGCTTCATGAAGGCGAAATTGTGCCTGATAAATTTATTACAGTTCTATGAGAAGGCAACAAACAGAGTGGATAAGGGGAACCAGTCGATGTAATATATTTTGCTGTCCAAAAGGCATTCGGTGAGGTACCACTCATAAGGCTGCTTTATAAGATAAAAGCTGATGGTGTCAGGGTTACTGCTTTAGCATGGATAGAGGATTGGCTAACTAATAGAAATCAGAGTTGGGGTAAGGGGGGGCATTTCAGGGTGGCAACCTGTGACTGGTGGAATGCCACAGTGCTGGGACCGCAATTATTTTCCATGATCCAGGTCATTTCTATATTTTGTAGTGAATTTACTATTGCCAAGTTTGCAAATTACACAAATACAGATGGGAAGGCAAGAGCTGAGGAAAAGTCTGCAGAGGGATATAGACAGGTTAAGTGAGTGGGCACAATCTTGGCAGGTAGAATGTAACATTTGGAAAATTGAGATTATGCACTTTGACGGAAGAATGTAGTGCTGAATATCATTTTAAATGGGAAAATGGAATGCAGCACAGAATGATTTGGGGATCCTCACACATGAATCAATGTTTGTTGTAGTAGTGTTTGCTGTGGACCAAACTGATTTCAAGGAACTTACATATGTTGCTGATGTGCCGCATCACCCTGTCATACTATCCTTAATTGTTCTGTGGAACTATTTAATTATTTTCTTCACTTTTATATTTAAATATATTTTAATATAATTGATCAACTTTGCCACCAGCTGCTGTACCATTTTGAAACTTTGGAATAGAATAAACCTTAATTATGTACCAGAGATACTCCAGTTGACCAGCTTCTTCTCCTGTAACAGAGTAAGCATCTATTTCTGGAGATTGAAAAGTTCAGATAAAAGAATAGGAACAGTACCCTTTCCCTTCCTTCTCTGTAATTCCCTGAAGGACATGACAATAGCACTCTATTGTAATTATTTCAATAAACCTGTTTATACATGTTAATGACTCACCTCAGGGACAAGTGGGCCATGAACCTACACCTGCTGTCCAAAAGATAGGGAATACCACTGCACCCTAGTGATACTCAAGTGGAAAGTCATATGAAGTTTGATGCTTTCTATCTGTTTCTAACACAAAAGCCTATCTGAGTTGTTGAGGATACAGTTTCAACTCATTCTTAAACTCAGTTATTAGATTTGTACAGAATGAAAATTTAAACTTTCTTGTACACCAACTGCGTGCACTCTCTTATTCTCATTACTGGAGGAACATAGCAAGGTGAAAGGGTATTATAGAAATCACAGGGGAGACACGTAACAAGGAGATCGAATGGAGTTCAATGGGCCCAGAGGACACTGGTATTGGAAATCACCTGTGCCTGGGGAAAGGTGCGGGTATGCTCCCAGACATCACTGGGACCATAGTGGGAGAGTTCCTACTGAGTTCAACTGCAGACCCTCCACACCAGCTCAGCTTGGCCCCCTTGTTATGCTTCAATATATTAGTATCAAAGTAGAATTTTTGAATCATATAGCATTCTGTCTTTGACAGCCTGGTCTCAGCATTCGCTCTCCCCTAGGAGTCAGAAGGCCATAGTTAAAGTTCCACTACAGAACACATATTCAAAGTAGACTGACCCAGTGCTGCATTGTAGTAGGTGCATTCTCTCATGAGAGGTTAGACTCAGTCCATCTTTGACTAAAGTTTAATATTTGAGAATCGTCACCAATACAGATTATCCAATCATTATCACATTCCTGTTTTTGGGAATTACTGTCCGCAAATTGGCGGCTGTGTTTCTTCGGGATATTGCAACACTGGCAATAAATAATTGAAAAATGTTTAATTGTGAAACACTTTGGGACATTCTGAGAAGGAAAAAACTGTTTTCTGAAGTTCTGTTGGTCTTTAAGGTGATTGAGATTGTTTAGGAAGGTCTCAAGCTTGGGTGACCAGTGCATGGTAATGCAGATTCTACACCAAACAGCAAGGAGCAATGAGGCATTTTACAGAGTCCCTGATTCCCAACTTGCCTTGTGCTTATCATCCTTCCGGTTCAATTATTCCTGCTGGTGCTCTGTTCTTCCTCCTTTCTCCCCTCATCACCTCCTCCTTGTTCCTCACTCTCATCATCCTTGTACAACTCCCCACTCTATGCTGACCTTCCATCACTCCCAACTCTTTCCCGCACCACCCCCAACCCTCCCCCAGCTTTTGCGCATTCCTCCCTTACTGCATGGCATGGATAAAGGTGTGAGGAAGGTGCTTAATTCTTTCTGATTTGTCCATACATTATCCCTAGTTGCAGCCATTTCCTGAACAGTAAGTGTAGCTGTTCGCTGCACCAGGAACTAGAAGAACCTCACGTTAGCTGTCACCATTGTGCAGACAGCTCCTGTCAGTTTGATTTTGTTTCAATTATATGTGTCATTGTATCCAAGCATAATCAATATCCATCAAGACTGTGGATGTAACACACTGTCCTTTCCTTTTCCAGTTGGCTTCTTTACAGACACAGCTTGACAACCTGCTGAATAAATGAAGGACTGTTCACAAAATCTTTTCACCGGGACAGTGCCACGTTGTGTGGGCTGCAAGCAACTTGCTTGACTAGACGTGCCCATGATCAGAATCAGTGTTGCAAACCATGTGTGGCTTGTACATAAATGTGAATGTAAACCTCAATAAATGTACTATTAGTAATTTTTAACAGTAGATGTTTGCATTTGTTATTACCTTTCTATGGAAATCACTGGCAAAAAGCTGGCATTTATTGTCCTTCCTAAGCTCCCTTTGAGAAGGTAAGAAGAAAGCTTATGGACTGGTTACAGTCTATGTAATGAAGGTCATGAATCCAGGTGAGTGACCCAAGGAGGTTGAACGGATGGCAATTCATGTCCAACTTGAGCTGATGGCACTTGATTGAATCTTACCACTGCCACCCTTTGATCCTCTGTTGTCTGAAATTATCAGACTGCTAGCTTGTAACCTGTACTTGATGAGCAGAAACGTCCTCCAATTAAATACCGAGAAGACTGAAGCTATTGTCTTCTGACCCTTTTGCCTGATCTGATCTCATCTTTCAAGCTGAGCCTAACTGTCACAAACGTACAAAAATTTTTTTCCCCTTTATTCATTCACGGGAGCAGGGTGTCTCTGGCCAGGGCAGCATTTATTGCAGTCAAGAGTCAACCATATTGCTGCAGGTCTGGAGTTACATGTAAGCCAGACCAGGGAAGGATGGCAGTTTCCTTCCATAAGGGGCATGAGTGAACCAAATGGGTTTTTCCCAACAATCAACAATGGATTCACGGTCATCATTAGATTCTTGATTCCAGATATTTATTGAATTCAAATTCCACTGTCAGCCATGGCATGATTCAAACCCGGGTCCCCAGAACGTTATCTGGGTCAACAGTCCAGTGATAATACCACTAGGCCATTGCCTATAGGAGTAGATGTAGGTTCTTTGCACTTCGAGCCTTCTGTGCCATTTTGTTAGATCATGATTACTTTGTATTTTGAATTCCCCATTACCATCTGGTCCCAATAACCTTTACTTCCATTGCCTATCAAAAATCTATCTACCTCTGCCTTAGAAATCTCCCAATTTTCACAAAATGTTTACAGATGCAACTGACTACCATGGAGAATAGCAATCAATTGAGTGAAGTTAGAGTAAAAGAGAATTCAGGGAATATTGTAAATAGGATTCGGGAGTTACAGGCATAAATTGTAATATGGAATTATGATGTGGTGATAACAAAGCTGGTCAAGGAAATGCAGGGTTGACTGTTAAATATTCCTGGCTATAAGTTGTTCAGCAAAGATGGAAAAGGAAGGAAAGACGGAGGGTGATTAAGAAGAGCATTGCGGTGCTAGAGAAGGAGAGTCAGAACAAAGAGATCAGAGAGTTCAAGAACAAAATCAATTTAGCTAGAGTGAAGAAACAAAAAGGGCAGAATTGCATTTCTAGGTGTAGTCTATAGATCACAAACTATTGGAAAAAGAATGTAGAGGAATAAATCTGCAGGGAAATTACAGATGTGTATGCCAGTGTTATGGAGTGCTTATAATCTCAATTACCCAAATTGAGACAGAGATAGTATAAGGGCCAGAGAGGGTTAGGCCTTCCTGGATTGTGTGGAGGAGAGTTTCCTACAGCAGTATGGGTCCAGTTCAATGAGAAAGGATGCACTTTTGTACCTGGCTGTTGCAATTCATGTGCCAAGTCAATTAAATGACAGTGAAGGAACATTTAGAAGACAGTAATCATCGTATCGTATGGTTCAGGATGATGGTAGGGAATGACAAACATTAATCCAGAGTGAGAAAAACCAATTGAAAGACAGCAGACTTCAAAGGGGCCAAGAATGGAGCTAGGCAGGATTGACTGAATGCAAGGTTGGTAGAATAAACTAACGGAACAATTGGCTATCTTCAAAGAGGAGATGGTTCAGATACAGACAAAGTATATATCCTCAAAGGGAAAAGATGGGATAAAAATTCCAGAGCTCCCTGATGAAATGAGATGACAAAGGAAATAGAAATTCAGGTGAAGAAGAAAAAATGTGTCATGACAAGTTTCATGTAGAAAATAAAGTTAAGTACCAAGAGGCACGTTGAAGGTTCAGAAGTGAGGGTTTTTTAAAAAAAAAAGCGAAAAGAGAAACAGAGAATTTATGAGAAAAGCCTGGCAGCCAACATTAAAAAAAAGTTGCCCCAAAGCCATCAATGGGCATACAAATAGTAAAGATGTGTGTATAATTACAGTGTTTAAAAGACATTTGGATAAGTACATGAATAGGAAAGGTTTGAAAGGATATGGACCAGGAGCAGGCAGGTGGGACTAGTTTAGTTTGGGATTATGTTTAGCATAGACTGGTTGGACCGAACGGTCTGTTTCCGTGCTGTATGACTCCATGACTAGTGAAAGGAAGATTTGGGCTGATGTGGAACCAAAAAGGGGATCTAAAACAGGAGGCAGGGGCCATGACCAAGGTGTTAAATGGATACTTTGCATTGGTCTTTACCAAAGAAAGAGTTGCTAACGAGGACATGGTAACAAAGGAGGAAATTGTCACTAGAAGGATTGAAAATTAATAGGAGATGTTGGATAAACTATTGGTACTTAAAGTTTACAAGGCACCCAGAGCAGATGAGATGCATCTAAGAATTCTGACAAAGGCGAGAGTGAAAACTGCAGGGGCACTGGTCTTAAGCTTTCAGTCTTCTGTGTGCTCAAGGGAGATGGCAGGGGACTGGAAATTTTCAAACATTATGGTGCAAGAAAAGTCGTAAAGGTATTCTATGGAATTGCAGACTAATCACTTTAACTTCAGTGGCGGATAAGGTTCTAGAGAATAGTATTCAGATGGAACCAAGTCACAGGGAAAAACCTGGGTTTTCTGAAGAAGGGTCTAGGCCCGAAACGTCAGCTTTCCTGCTCCTCTGATGTTGCTTGGCCTGCTGTGTTCATCCAGCTCTACACCTTGTTATCTCTGATTAGGAAGTGTCAGCATGGATTGCCAAGGGGGAAATTGTTTAGCTAACTTATGTGAGTTTTGTTTTGAAGAGGCAATTGAAAGGCTTGATGTGGTAATAATATTGATGGTGGAGGAATAATAATGGTGGTGGTGTTCATGAATTTTCAGAAGGCATTTAATACACTGACACACTACAGACTTGCAAAATACATTATTTCCATGACCTTTAATGGGTCAAACAACATGGATATAATGTGATAGGAAACAGTAATGGTTAATGGCTATTTTTCAGGCTGGAGAAAAATTTACAATGAAGTTCCTCAGGGTCAGTATTGGAAGCTTGCTTTTTCTGATGTACACTAATCTAGATCTTTTTGTGCAGTGGACAGTTTCAAAGTTTGCAGATGACACTATGTTTGGAAGAGGTGTAAATTGTAGATCAGTGTGGAACTCAAAGGATACTGTGAAGTTGGAATGGGTGGATAAGTCGCAGATGAGATTCAATGCAGAGAAATGTGACGTGATGCATTTTGGTAGGAGGAACATTGAATGACAAAGTAGGGGGTACAATACTAAAGCGGGTACAGGAGCATCAGCAAGCTGGGTGTATATACGTACAGATTGTTGAAGGTGGCAGGACAAGTGGAGAGAACAAGAAATAAAGCATATGTGCTCCCAACTTTATTAATGGGGCGTGGAGTACAAAGAGGTAATGTTGAACTTTTATGAGACACTTGGTAGACCACAGTTAAAGTATTTTGTACAGTGCTGGGTGCAACAGAATCACAGAATTGTTACAGCGCAGAGGATGGCCATTTGGCCCATCATGCTTGCACCAGTTCTATTACACAGTGCTGGTCTCCTACCTTTTCCATGTCTCTGTATACCATTTTTATTCAAGTAATCATCCAGTGCTTTCTTGAATGCCTCAATTGAACCAGCTTCCACCACATTTTCCACACAGTGCATTCCATACCCTAACTATTTGTTGAGCAAAAAAGTTTTTCTCTCACATCACCCCTGCTTTGTTTGATTCTCACTTTAAATCTATGCCCTCTCATTCTTTTTTTAAATAAGCTAGAACAGCTTGTCCCTATCTACTGTGACCAGCCCACTCATGATTTTGAAAATAATTTTCAAATGTCCTCTCAGTCATCTTCTCTCCAAGGAGAACAGGCCCAACTTCTTCAATTTATCCTAATAACTGAAACTTCTCATTCCTGGAGCCATTCTTGCAATTATGGGAAAGATGTGAATGTTTTGGAAATAGTGCAGAAACATGTTACAAGAATGGTTCCAGGAATGAGAAACTTCAGTTGTATAGGTAGAAGGGAAAAATTGGCCTGTTGTCCCAGGACCAAAGAAGGCTGAGTGGAGATCTGATGGAGGGTTTCAAAGTCATGAGTGCACTGGATAGAGTAGATAGGCAGAAACTGTTCTCACTCATAAAAGAAACAAGAATCAGAGGGTGCAATTTTTTAAAGTGATTTGAAAACGAAGCAAGGGTGACATGAGAAAAAGTATGTCCATTCAACAAGTAGTTAGGGTGTGGAATGCACTGCCTGGAAACGTGGTAGAAGCAGGTTCAATTAAAGCATTCAAGATAGTTATTAGGATTAAAATAATGTGTCACTTGGATCAAAATTTGAGGGGCAACTTTTTCACAGACAGTGATTCAGATGTGGAATGAACTGTCAGAGGAAGTGGTAGATGCAGGTAGAGTTACAACATTTAAAGGAACATTTGGAAGGTACATGAACAGGAATGGTTTACAGGGATATGGGCTAAACACAGACAAATGGGACTAGTTTAGTTTAGGAAACTTGGTCGGCACGGACGAGTTGGACCGAAGGATCTGTTACTGTGCTGTGTGATTCTATGATTCTAAAATTCACTGGCACACAAACCATTGAGGAAAAGGTTCCAACACATTTCTGTCCTAAAAAGCTGAACAGTGCCCCCCAATTCTGAAATCACTCACTCGAGAAAGCATCCTTCTTATGTCCACTTCTGTGCTGGGATCCCATATGACATGCCAAACTATTATCCTACTCTAAGATCAAACTACCTTGCTTACCCTACATTTTACTATCATCCATGTGTCTATCCAAAAGTCACTTAAATGTCCCTAATGTATCTGACTCCACATGTATCTTCCAACCACATATTTGTCCCATAACTAAAATGGCTAAGATAGCACCCAACTCTATCCCTGCCCCAGCTC